TCGTAAGTATTTGTAGTACCTCTTGTAAGTTTTTTACACTACAGTTTGACCTCGTTTTATCTGGACACCAGTTATCCGGAAACCTCTATTAACCGGCTGCGATCTCGCAGTGTATGTTCTCTGTTTTTTCATTCATTTCCACCTAAAAATCTCGGTCAAAACTCTAACATAAACCGAACTGGTAAAATTCCTGTTTTATTTCATTTTATTTCCATTTCATATAAACCAGAAAACACCACAGTTTGTTACAAAATAATCATAGCAACGTGTAAATACATTATCACATGCATAAACCCTACTGAACTGCATAGAAATGCTGTGTTTGAGCATAAATCGCATATCCGGATGGGTGCCGGTCCCGACGTGGCCGGATCAACGAGGTCGGACTGTAGTTTGCTATACTGCTTACTGTGTACATACATTAACGTTTCAATTTTCTGACCAAAAATAGAATATTCGGATGGGGTACATGCAGACAGTCATCAATCACTGTCTGTTGTTCGGCCTCAATTGAATATTTTCTTATTTTGTGCACATTATCTCTAAAAGAATTTGACATAGAGATATTGATTCAAAAGATAGTAGTGATAACTGTAATTATAAAGGGCCGTGTACTCCTCCCATTGACTCCTATTTTCTGTCAGCACTGTTTAACACGAATTTCCCTAACACATTTCTTTCAGGAATGTATCATTTTTGTTAAGTTGGATATTGCGCAGCTGTATTATATTGGTTTTATATATATGCCATTTGGCATATATTTATACCAATGATTGTGTAGGTGTGCCCTTTCTCAATGCAATTAATATTTGATTATTTTTTGTAGACAGCTATGATGATGGTAGAAAGAAGCTGAGGAGAGCAGAAGAGACATCGGATGTCCAGACAGACGAAACGAATGGTGAAGGATCTAGAAAGTAAGCCATTTCATGCACATTTTGATCACCAGATAATTTATGTAGACCAAAAATGTCTGCATCAAGTATTCTTATATATAGATACAATCGATAGCTACAAATTTAGGCATTTTCCTGCTTTTCTATTGTAAACGATGAAAACGAATGCTTGTTGGCATGAACAGATTACTTTTTGTGGTAGGTGTAAACGTAAAACACCACTGTGGATGTTAGACAGCGATGAGGAAGACGCTGAACATGTCGCCAAGAGAGCGTGCACTTCTATTCCAGATAATGGTAAGAAACAATGTGGGGTCTATTGTGTAACGTAAAAACATTGCATGACTGATTACTAATTGTATGGTTGCTTTTTTCTTTGTGTACTTTCTCTACATTGAATGTAAGACAAAATAGCATAATGTATTGTGTGCATAATTAGTCTTAGTAAATTCCTATTTTTATTTACATGATTAGCCTGATTGTTTATGTGGGGCGTTATTCGTGCACGCACACAAAAACACAACGCTCGGATGACGGTGACTTAAGTTTATTCAATTGACA